ATAATATAATTACAACATATTTATATTTAATTTTTTAATAAATTTTATATAATTTCTACTTCTAAATATTTTTATTTTCCAAATGATTATAAAAGAAATCTAATTCTTTTTCTAATTTAACTATTATTTTTAATATCAAAATGAGTATTTATTTTACTATTTTATAATTTAATATATATCATACAAAATTATTATACGATAATTACACTTTTATAATATGATAAAACTAAAATTATCAAAATACACAAATAATTTAACTAAAATTAATATATATAAATATTCAAGTAATAATTTTATAAAATGATAACGCCAATATTATCAAAATAAATAATTAAAATCTTACTTTAATTTTGATTTTAAATTAAAATTATTCTCTCATAACACATTGTACCATCAAATATTTTTTGAAAAAAAATAGCACGTGCATTGCACGGTCAACTGCTAGTATATTATTAAAAATAGTATTTTTCCCATACTTAGGTGGTACATTATAATGGCTTACTTTTTTTTAAGAGATCTACGTCAGCATGTATTTTTTTAATTACATATAGAGTTTTACACAAACTTAAATATGATTTAAATTATACTAACTTTATCTATTTTATATGGACTCTATTTGACAAATATTTCTTTTCCATATATTTTTCATCTTAAATTGAGATAATTTATAAACCCAATACCGATTTTACATTTCACATTTTTTTTAGTTCTTTTTAATTCTTTCAAGGGTATTATGATTTTTTTTAATACTAAATTGCCTTTTTTTTTTCTCTCCTTATTTTTCCATGCATTATTATATATTCAGTACCAATCAGATATTATGAATTTGTTATTTAAATTTTATAGTGATTTTATATATGAAATTATATTTCATTTCCTATATTATTTTATATAATCACTACTCGCAGGAAGAAAAACCTACACAACAATAATACTCTTGAAGAACTTCTAAAGTTCGGATTTATTACTTGATTTACCTTTTCAATTGTTGAACAGTAAGTTCTTTTATGTTTTGACATCATATTACAGATGATCAATCACTTCACACGCAGAAATGTATCTGTCGTTTAGATGTTTTCATTATTTTTCTTTTTCTATTTAGATGCTATTATGTGATTCTTTCTTGATTAGTTGCTGTTGAATTTTTTTTTATATAGCTGATATTTTAATTTAATTAAGAGTGTTTATTTTATAATCTTATAATTCAATATTTATATATATATATCATATAAAATCATTATATGATAATCCAACTACAACATATTTATATTTAATTTTTAAAATTTTTTTATATAATTTCTATTTTTACATATTTTTATTTTCCAAATCAATACAAAAAAAATTAAATAGTTAGAATTACTCTTAATCTTATGTTACTAATTATTTTTCTAATTTAACTATTCACTTTTATAATACGATAGAACTAAAATTATCAAAATACACAAATAATTTAACTAAAATTAATATATATAAGTATTCAAATAACAATTTTATAAAACGATAACACCAATATTATCAAAATAAACAATTAAAATCATACTTTGATTTTAATTTTAAATTAAAATTAAAATTAAATTTTTTCTATTTTATAAGGAGATTTACCAATAAATTCCAAAATGTAAACTTATGAACCAATTGGTCCCATTTTTATTCTAATAAACCGTTTAGTCCTGGAAAATTATAAGAGACGTAATTACCCTCATTTAGACACCACTCATCTCTCTCAACATTCACTCTCTCACATGGAGACCCAGCCATACACATATCTTCTCTCTCTAGCAGACACAAGACACCATGCACACAAAACACCATTAACACACACACCCAGCAGCCACACTCATACACACCATACACACAACACATACACACAGAGCACACACCAAACCCAACTCTCTCTCCTCTCTCTAAGACACGTCCAGTGCATAACACACACACACTGATACACGCACACACACATACTGATGGCTTCAACACACACCCACACATACACACACTGATACACACACACAACGCACACAGTACACACGGCACAAACTGGGACATCAACACACATGCATCTACACGCACACACGCACACTGATACACGCGCACACACACACACACACACACTAATGGCTTCAACACGCACACACACACACTGATGGCTTTAACACACACAGCACACACAATGCACACAGTACACACGGCACAGACTGGGACATCAACACACATGCATCAGACTCTTCTCGATTTCTCAATCCAATCACTCCTCACATCAGTTCATAAAGTAAATCATCAATCTAAAACTCAAAAAACAATTGCTACAGAAACAATTAATTACACACTGTACCTTGCCATTGGCGCAGCCAAATCCACCGAAATCAGACCGATCGTCATCGTAATGTCTGGCATCGTTCTCTGCATCTTTGAGTGGAAGCTGAACCTGAGCGAGCATGTGGTAATTAGGCTCGTTCTTGGATGTGTGAGTCCCCAAAATCATCTTCTGGACTGAGTAGTCCTTCCCCGGCGGCTCTTCCCGATTAGGAAGCCACTCAATAGTGAAAGAAGGCCATTCAAGAACATGAGTGATGACTAAATCGTACAAGAACGGTGTGTTCTTCTTCCAAATCTTGTACTCTTCGTTTACCAGTCTCTCCTCTATCTCTTCTCTCATCTCATTGTCGTCTTTCCCCATTGCTAGGTTTCAGAATCGATGAAGACGTTGATAATGACGATGCCCTAATCGAAACTCGATTTTCTCTCTCTATAATTCAATTTTCTAACTGTTTACTCTTTTTTGTTGTGTGGAAGGGTTTGGAGGGAACGAAATTTTAGAGAGAGAAAGCGCGGATGGGTTTGCAGACAGGAAGGGGGGAAGAGTTATAATGTGGGAGATGGTGAAGTGATGGTGAAGTGAGGGATCACACTGATGGCCCCCCAACAAAATATGGAAACATAATAATAATGGGTAAAATCGTCCACACAGTTACACTAAATATGGAAAATAGGATCAGCAAGAAACAAACTTCCCAACTGATAGGACTTATCCGAACAAAAGAATAAAGTTGGGATTAATTGGTTTAATAGTTTGTGAAATGAGATTTATTGGTAAATTTTCCTATTTTATAACACACATTTTACCATCAAATATTTTAAAAAAATAATAATAACATGTACATTGTGCTAGAATAAATATATTTTGGATTTATGTCTAAACAAGTAAATATTAACCCAATGTGCCAGTTATCTTGATACTTTATAATCATATTAATTTAAATATGATACGTTTAATTAGTATAATTATACGTAAATTAGACAACTCATTTTAAGAAAATTTATTTCATGTTACATACATAAGAATAATATGTTTAAATTATTAACAGACACAAGATTAATATTTATAACAATATTCATGAAAATAATTTAAAAGATTCATTATTGATCTGTCACACATCCAATATGAATTATTGACACTTGTTAATATCTAAACATCAAACAAAATTTCAAAAACAAAGTAAGTTTTCTTTCAATACCAAAATATAATCTAATAGTTGAGGATAAAATATTTAAAATTATATGACTACCAAATTCAATTTGTATTTGAGTTACCTGCAAATCAATAATGGGTTCATGTCCACATATTGACATGAATTTTTATATGAGTTAAATGGATCTTACGAGTGTTCAATACTAACACAACTCATTTAATATTTAGATTGTCGGATTGTGTCATATTCGTGTCTGTGTCAAAATTATGATCAATCTTAACATACTAATTACATGTACGGTATGAGTTAAAACTATGATCAATCAAAATTATGATCAATCTTAACATACTAATTACATGTACGGTATGAGTTAAAACTATGATCAATCTTAACGCACTAATTACATGGTACGGTTTGAGTCGCATGTTACATATTACATTTTTTCATTAATTATTTAACAAGTATATCAATTAAATATAATATTAAATAAGTTTCATGGGTAAATATGATGTCTTAATCTTAATTAATATATTTTTTAATATTAAACTTTATTGATTTTTGTATGAGAAGAACAAAAATCTCTAACTTCACTAACTACTGTTAACAGTATGTTTTGTACAATGAAATGGGTTAGAATAAAATGTTCATCACATTTGATTTTTAAAAGCCTATCTCCGTATGAAAATAAGTTATTTTATCTTAAAAATTAAAAAATATTACAAATTATGACGTCGCTCTCTTTACTTTTTTTTTTACACGTCATTTTATAAAAAAATTAAAATAATCAATTTCTAAACCACCCCTACCATAATTCAATTTTTTTGCAAAGCATCAAACAACTGAAAAAAACCACTAGCATCAATTTTTTTACAACTTAGGAATCATCATCCTAAGGCTTGGTTTAGAAAATGGGTTGATTTTTTGACTTTTTTAGCCTGGGCTAAAAAGCTTGGTTTGGGAAGGGCTTTTTGGCTTTTTGACTTTTTTGACTTTTTTTGTGAGAGAAGAGTGTAATGATTATGGGTTGGATGTAATGTTTTGTTTTTTGTGGCTAAAATAGCCTATTTTGTCTTTTGCGGCTAAAATAGCCAAAAAAACCTTCAACCCAACTTGCCAAACGGAGCCTAAGTAGGCATTTGTCCAAGTTTGTCCTTATTGAAGCAAACTCCCCACAATAACAACAAATGGCTACCATTTTTTTGTGTGCCCTCTCTCATTTTTTTCCTTCCATTTTTTCCCTTCTATCTTGCTTCTTTGTTTTTTTGGACCTCTGTTCAGCTTGTATAATGGCCTCTAAGCATAGTGGCACGAAATTTTACCTCCTACTTAAAGTGGAAAAAATTTAAAACTTTAAGAGACCAAACTAGAAAAAAACTTATTTTTAATAATGCCAAAACCGTGACCACAGTTAGCTGTTGGACCACAGCGAGAAAAATTAAAGTCCAGAGGCCAAAATGAAAAAATAATTAGTTTAAAGACCAAAATGAGAAACAGGCCATGTTTTAACACAATGTTGGATCATGGATTTTGATAGGAATTTAAAAAGCAAATAGAAATGAATACATATTTCAGTCACATTTGCTCACCTTTTTCTTTTTCCCCAATTCTCCAGCCAAATCTATTATCCAAACACGGTCTAAAGGGACAAAGTGTAATTTATCCAAAAAAGAAACTATTATGAACATCGGATCCTATAAGCTGAACCAAATGGAGCATCTCATTTGACATTTCCACCTTCCAAAAATTCATGCCATCAAATGAGATAATCCTAGTTTCAGTTGAATCCAGCCGGACCAGCACTGCCACAATCAAATCCCAACTTCTTCTCTCTCTCTCTCTCTAAATTGCTTTACAAAAGAGGCACAACGAAAACAAACAATGTACAAATCCCACAAAAAATGCAACAGAAACTTTAGAAGGAAACATGTTACTCAACAAAGCTTAACCCAACTGTTCAAGGGTGAACTGTAAAAGTTTTATGTAGCTCTAAAGGAACCAGGTTACTATGAACAATTTAATTGATAACAAAGCTTCATTATATAGCAAAGCTGATGAAAATGGATAAATATACATACCTTTTGCAATTCCTCAGCACGAAGTATAGAAAATTTAGCTTTTCCCCATCATCATGTAGGTAAAGTCCTCAGCAAATGAAGCGCTCGCATCCACTGTGGTCTTTGTGATAGAATGATTCTCCTCAATGCCGGAACTGCCCCTGCAGCTACAATAGCCGAATGGTTCTCAGCATCCATACTCAGATTATATAAAATTGCTAATCCTGCTTCAACTGCCCTCCCCGTCCCTTCTTCAATCAACTTCACCAACGGGAATATTCCCCCCTCAGCAGCAACCGCTCTAGTCGAATCTACAACCCCTTCGGAGATTATTCTGTTCAGTTCTACAACCGCTGCTTCTTGCACTTCCGGAGACGGGTTTTCAATCTGCTCCATCAATCTCGGGATCGTCTCGTAAAGAGTAACCTCCATACTGATTGGACTCTCAAAGTCTATGTTGGGGCCGGACAAAGAGCTGAGTTTAACCAGGCAAGCAGCGACCCAATCCTTGTGGTGAAGGGGGATACTTGATGTGAGAATTTTACGTAGCGATGTTATGAAAGGAGTTGGCTTTATGGTGCTTCGGAACTTGTCAAAGTCGAGCAGTCTTGTTAGTAATCGGGATGCCGCGGATATTGCAAGACCAGCTTCTTCAATTTCTAGGGCACGTAGTTCTGGCTGCTGACAGTCTATATCGGCTTCCATGTCTGCTTTATACCAAATTGAGATAGAGATTATAAAATAGAAGCATTTGGAGCATTTGGACAACTATAAGAATAAACTCTCTTTGGTATATATAGATGAGTCCACTTGGTTGCAAGTGTAGTGTCATTTTTAGAACCTTAGGCAAAAATATAGAATAAATAGTCTTGAACATATTAACTCGGTTGAAATTTCATGTTCCTAATATTTTGTAACACCACTTCCAGAAAATGGATAATCATTATGACTTCAACTTGAGAGAGAGAGAGAGAGGACTAAAGGATACCAAGTCTATGTAGTATCCAAATGCTGCTCAAAATCACATTGTTTTCATATAAAAAATTATGAGAATCGATTTTATCACTGTATTAAGAAATAAATTTCCAAATACACCAATAGCCCCCGGAGGAAGAAGGATAAAAAGGCACAAGAAGATCCAAAACAAAATCAGAACAAAGTGTAGACTTTTTTAATGGAAACCAACGATTAGCTTCCCAAAGGTCTTTCTCGAAGAGGACAGTAGGACACAATGGCCTCCCCAAACTTGTTTCTCTTAAATAGTGATATACCATTTTGACAGAACACTTGAATCCCCACACTCTCTCTCCCTCTCTCTCATACGTAGATTAGCCCAATGCCAACTCTCCCACCACCTCCTACCAACGAAGGTGAATTCCTATTTGTTCCACAACCATGCATCCATCAGTCTTTCCTCCTTTTCTAGTCAACAAATCCATGGCCAAAAAGCCCAAACCGCAAAAGTTGCAGCCATAACTGCCAGTAACATTGCATTAGCATTGAACTATGAATCTGCCATCCCAATAACAACCATAAGCTACCAATGCTCGCATCTCTATCCCCATCAACCTTCCACCTAGTCCCCAAAGCACCTAAATACCACTCCCACATTGATGCACAACAAGTTATGACATCCATTTACATGATTTTTAGGGTATATTGTCTTAACAGTTGACCTAAGTTGTTTTCTCCCCTCCATTTTTTTTTAGCTATATATATATAGATTAGTTAAAAAATCAACATAATTATTCAGTTAGGGTATATAAGATTACAAGACCATTTATCAGTTGGTGATTGCCAAGGTCACCGAAAAGGGAAGAATTGAACAAGCAGACCTTTTGACAAGTTTAAACTTAAATATCAAAGGAAATGAAATTTGTTACCCGTACCATTCACAATTTTTTGTTGGAAAACAGCACCCAAACTAGATTCGATGTCCACTGAGATGATTTGGTCGATGCATGGCTCAGCCATTGTCACAAACTCAAGGATGGAAGCTGCTTTTATTTGCAAATTTGGGGATGACAACTTCAGGATCTGAACAAGGCGAGCAAGGGCAGCAGAATCCAACAGATCTCTTGCATGGGCAGTTTGCAAGCTGTACAAGAGTTCATGTTGTTTAGCATGCAGATTCATAAAGGAAGTATCAAGTGCATACTGTCGGTGAAGCCGCAAATGACTTTCTTTTACTCCATTTAAGTTTCTTTTCACAAAAAAAGTATCAAAGGTAATTAATTGAAACCAAAAAAAATAATAAAGTTTATCCCTTTTTCTAACAGAATAAAATAACCACCCTAAATTTGTAACTAGTCTCTCACATTCCAACAAAATATTCTAAATAAGCCACCCATCAAACTACATAGTCAGTGGTGTATGAGGTGTGATTCCAATTTCTTAAAAAAAAAAAAAAAAAAAAAAAAAAAAAACTACATAGTCAAAAAAAAACAAGGTGTGATTCCAGTTTAGCCTTTCAGAGCAATCAATGTTTTTAGGTAACAAATGCATATTAGTGGTTTGAAGATGGGAAGATACAGAACCATGCACTTAGGTTGGAGAGAAGGTTATAAAGCTGGCCCAGAACTTTGATTTTCCATCAACTTTTTTACTACCACATAAAGTAAAAGAGAGTTACTAGAACCCTACATTTTTGGCAGCAATCAATGAACCAAGTCAACAACAATGTAACAATTTTTAATTCATAAAGTTTAAGCCTTTACTCCATGGACATTGTTGATATGCTTTTATGTGCCCGGGTGCCCCTAATGTGCAAAAGTTTCAAATCCGCCTAACATTTGCATGTCAGGAAACAAAGGCATGGCCAAACTTTCAAAACCATCTAATTTTCCACATCTATATCCTATATCCATATCTACACTGACAGCATAATACCTTCCAAAATTACTTCATGCGTATTGGTTTGTACATGTAACTTAGGTTCAGTCTCCAATTCCGTTGTCCTATTCCATCTCTGGCACCAAATATATAGATGTGAAGGTCATTAGAGTAATTCTGCAGAGTAATTCTGCAGGCCCACCCCTTTGGTAAAAACTAGAAACTTAAACCGAGTATGATAAGCACCAAAAGAGACCTATCTAAAACGATATCTAGAAACCAGTAACATTTGCAAAATACAAATCTAACTACAAAGAGATTATTACTAGAATCCATTTGCATTTGCATCCTTCGTTCTTATGAAAGGTCACCTCTGTTACATTAGTAATCAAGAAAATCATACAATTACATTTACTATAAATACGAAATTGAAGGAAATAGTGACAACAAATTCTGACATGGAAACAAGCATGAAAGAACCTGGAAGTTGGTTTTGATACTGGTGTCTCATTCATGTTTCCAGCTGATCCTGTTGTTATTGTTGTGTCTTGTTTCTTCTTTGATCCATTAACTGGTTCATCATAAAACTGACAGATACTACACACAAGGTATTAGAAAAGCAAAAAATAAAAAAATGTAAGTTCTCATGAAATTCAGTGAGCAATATCTGACTGACCTTCGATTTCATTTCTTTACTGGGGTCTAAAATCCGAGCAAAAATATACAAAGTCTGCGATTCATAGAATTTTTTTTCTATTTCAAGAACACTAGATGCAAATGCATTTTGCCAAAAGATTTGGGTGAGAAACTAAATCACTGCACTACCTTTTCCATCAAGCTTTCAGAGACTTCTGAGTACTTCAGTGAATCTATCAAATAGTGCAAAGCGCCTTCTGCTTCAATTATCTGGCAAACATCTTTGCTGCAGATAAAAAATTGATCAATGGTAAGTTAGAAAACTCAAACACACTAGTAGTGACATTTTTGTGGTTAATTTATGATAGAGAAGACTGGTAAATATCACTTCAATAAAGAAAGAGGTGCTGGAGTGTGAAACTAATACAAAGTTCTTATACAAGAACAAGATAGCATATGAACAGAAACACGTTCATACACACGGCACTAGCTGCATGCACAGTCATCAGGGTCTATGACAGGACATGCTTAAATAAAAGTGTACTACTCAGATGTTCATAGATTATAGTCATTGCATGTTTGAGTGGTCAAAAAGTCCACGGATGCAAAGAATGTGCTTATTACAAAGGTTTCTAATCAAAAGACCTGAATAGCAAACTTAAGTAGAAATTAAAAAAAAAAACCCTCCACCTTTCACATGCTTTTCCCAAGCTCTCTGACTTCATCACAAACCCCCCTCTGGCCCTCTCCCTTCCCCAAAAAATAAAATAAAATAAAATAAAATAAATGAAAAGCCACCCCAAAAAAAAAAAAAAAAAAAACCCTCTGAAAAAATGGAATAGGAAAGACCTGGTCATTAGCTAGGAACTCTCGCTCAACATCATAGATACCTTGACGGTCACACAAGTTATCCTCTAGAGTGGGAACACCCAATCATTGACTGGAGAAGTGTTTCCCCTTATTACAGGATTCAGTGTGTTGGCAATTTTTGTAAACAAAACATTTTCTATGTGATTTCCATTTAGGTGTAAATGTTGAGTATCCAAGTCTACAAGATTAAAGATGTTTAGAAACAATAAAAAGCGCTCTCCAATAAGATCTCAGGTATAACTACATAAGCATACTGCATCAGTTCAGGACCTATGTTACATGGACTCAGTACGGGTGTCAAGTGTAGGTACATATGTAATTGTATGATTCATCTAATTCTCATGTCCAAGGCCACAGGAACACAACAAAATATATACATTGCTTAATACACTTATTTTTATTTTATAGGGTAAAATGTTTCACAAGGTGCCAAAGAGAATCTCATGCATAATACAGGGGTTTTATGCATAGTTTTATGACAAACTCAAATTAAGGTTGGGAGTGGGAGAGAGGTTCGATAGTGAGGAACGAGGCCCCCATTTGAGTTTCCTGCTACTAAGATTTTACTAATCTACTTAGTAAATTCTAATTGGTAATTTCTTTTAAAATTTTGTGTATTCAACCGCCTCTAGTACAAACGTTTCCGCTTCTGCAATATCACCCTTCACGCCATATAAAGTTTTTCCTTCTTCTGCAACTTTCTTTCCTAATTGAACTTTCCTCATTCACAACTAAGAATGTTAGGTTGCACTACTACTCTTATTCATAGAAACAAGGACTTGAAGCAAGCACGGAATAAATAACCTGATAGACAGCCTCTCCAAAGCATGAATAACTGCCAATCGAACAGCATCACCATGATGGTCTAATAGCCGAACTAGATGCTTGACAGCTCCAGCTTCCTTAAAAGCAACCCGCATATGTTCGTTGATAGATGCATCAGCAATTGACTCTGCCGCTCTGGCAATAGCTGACTCGTCTTCTAGTCCAAGAATCAAAACCAGACGAGCAACACCATCCACCCATGGCAAAAGGGTAAAACGGCAACCTGAAGAGGATTCACTCTGAGATTTTTGCTCATCTTCCATTTCTATAGCCCCAATGCGAGCAAGAAACTCTTGTTGTGTCCGTCCAACTATTGCATTCCTCTTTGCTTCCTCTAGGTTGGCATCCTTGTCCTGAATATTTAATCCAAGAAGTAATTCAGAAGCACCATACCTTGAGGGTCCTTTTGAGCTCTGTTCAATCTCCGTACCATCAGGTAAAGAAGGCCATGAATGCAAAGCTGGTTTGAAGGACTTGTAGGCAGCAGCACCAACCAGAGGCACAAGAAGTAGATCTTCCTCCATAACAAGAATTCTATAGTACTCATCTTTAGCAAGTTCCAATAAAGCACTTCTTGCTTCTTTTCTCACGATCTTTGATCCCTCTACATCTGTTTTCAAGAGCTTCGCCTGCATTGGTTGTTCAAGGTAATAAGAATCTGTAACACCTGATACTCTCACAGATAATGGTTTTAAATTACTTTTTTTTCAGGTTGTTGACTGGTCCCTAAAAGGGTATTGATACAAGATTTTGCATGGTAAAGCCCAAATACAACCAATAAAGAGGAGCCAACCATTGACAAAACCAAACCACAAACAAAACATAAATCGGCAGAAAAGTTTTCAAGTGATAATATTCAGTAGAGTTATACACATGATTCCGTACATGATCATTTATTTCATCCATTTACTTGTAGAACATGGAAAACTCTGATATTAAATCAAAGCAATATTGAAACGCTAATAAGTTATAGTGGAGGTTGTCCTCAACCAAATTGGCCATGTCCAGTTTCTTTCTTGTATATATAAAGATGTAAAAGAAATTCATTGACGCCATGAAAGATGGTACCTCTCAATCACAAGCATACAAGGCCCAACAATGTGAAGATTCATCGAGGATAAGATGCACTAGTAAAACCAAATAACTTACTAATTATATGTGAACACGCATTTGCCTTTTCAGTGGGCCAATGAGATAAAAAAATTTGGTGCCATCATGCTTTAACAAATTTTTCTTCACGGAAAAATGGTAAGACAGTTGAGGAGAGAATGTGAGGCATCACATCTTTTACGAATCAGAAGTAATAATAGCAAACAAGAGTGATACCTCAAATAAAAAGGCATAAAAATACATAAAAATATTTAGATGAAACCTCAAAAGATATAGAATAATACTTTTCATGGAGGGACTTGGAATGGTTCATGTCGAGGGTTCATAGCTAAACCACACTAGACATGTCAAGATGATTGTCCAGATTTCAGTGATAAATGATGCCCCAATTCATGTTGGCTTCAAGACATAAGATGTATGCATAGTATCAGTCCATCTCAAGTCTGCAACACAGAAATTTATATCGAGGAATAGGCTATGTGTACCAGATTAGCTTTAAGCCTTCAGTTTTCCAACATCTGTGAAACTAAGAATCATGACCAAAAAATGAACTCCTGCCACAGTAATTCAGCTAAACAGCCTATTTTCATCTTTTCTTTATTTTTATCTTGTTCATCTCTTTCATTTCTTATGCCAGATTCTTTTGGCTTGGTATTGACTTATTAAATTCAGCAGACCATTCAATTGATATATAGAATTCTGATTGTTAACTGCTTTTATAAATAAATAGTGTAAAGTCCTCACCAATTTTGGAACAACACCTGCTTCAACCATGACCTTGTGATTAGAATGGCGCAATGCCAAATTAGCCAAAACCCCTCCAGCAGCTTCTTTCACTTTTATGTCCTCATCCTCCAAGAACTTGATTAGTAAAGGCAGGAGATCAGAGTTTACAATTTTCTCATGAAATTTCTCATCTACAGACAAGTTCCACAATGTACATATACTTTGCTCCTTTACCTGCAGCACAGATTCAAGCTTTACCTCTATTTTCTTTGTCCAAAAAATATTTGCAGATAAGTACCAATGATAAGGCAGCCTTTTCATACATCAGACGTCAAAGAAGATCGGCTCAACAGGGCAGTTATCTCTTCTATTGCCCCACTTTCTGCAACTGATTCTCTGTATACATTCACTGAGGACATCATTCTTAATAGCCCTGCAGCTGCTTCACATGTAGAACTAGAGTCTGATTTTAGAAGGTTTACTGTGAGATTTATGGAGCCACGAAATTGCATGATGGCATCAACATATTGTTTTCCTCCTAGTGAATATTTCCATAGTGCAACTATCGCCTGCTCTCTGTCAAGGGCATCATTATCTAACCCAAGCATACGGACAAACAAGGCCACGTAACCATCAGCAGAACTAGATGAGCTGCCTCTTAATGCCTCAACGTCCTGAAATTAAAGCGAGAAGATTTTCAATAGTGTGCAGCTCAAACAGAAGAACATTTGGCAACCTTATTGAGATATATGTAACAAAAAGAAAATGAGAGAGAGAGAGAGAGAGAGAGAGAGAGAGAGTATATTATAGATACAAAATATCTGTATATGTCAGAAGTATTTGTTTAGAAGAAAAAAAAAATGTAGGTCAACAAAACGATTCTTAAGAACAAGAATAGCAATCAAGTCAAATGCTCTGGCATCTTTTTCTCATACTTCAAAGCAATCAGTGTATTAAAGAGATAAATAAATATCCAGGGTTGTTGAGCAAACAGGGGTACCAAAGTTTTCAGGTTAAAACTAAAATGTTGAGTAGCTTGTCAAGATGCCATCTAACTAGATTACAACATCAGCAATGTGGATAAACATAACACACATCAAAACCCTTGAGCCACTAAAGATACACAACAGAACAGAGAGTGTTTGCACAGTGAATGCTAAAAGAAGGTCAAGTGATTCAGAGAGTCCATTGTTTTTACCAGAATACAATTGAAAAGCCCAACGAGCCCACAGTTCTCCTTAAAACCTAGGTATTAAGGAGAGGAAAACTAGAGCCTTATAACTAGCACAGATGGGGCAACTCTAGGTGATGTGGGACACATTCCAACACACCCTCCTGGACCACAACATACAGTAGCCGGACAAACGGCACATCAATCACAGGTATTAAGGAAAGGGAAACTAGAGCCTTATAACTAGCACAGATGGGCAACTCCAGGCGATGTGGAATACATTCCAACAAATACTTGGTATGCATTTACTTGTTTTTCTTTCCTGGCATTTAAATGAGTTTAAATTTTCGTTTTAAGACAGTGAGCCTGATCATATGACAAAGAGGGGAAAATGAAAAAATTGACAATCTTTTAAACTCTATTTACTATTATTTGATGAAAAATCCAGCCCATTTTCCCTCGAGCATAATGAAGACAAAACAAACATGCCAATCTTTATAGCTATATATCAGTCTAGTCACTCAAATTACACAGCAGAACACATTAATTACAAATTTCCCTTTGAAGGCAGTTGAGGAACATTCGACCAGATCCCCCAACCATGTTTCCCAGGAAGAGAAATTGTCAACAATGCCAGCATTCAATACTGCACTCCCTATCAAATGTCTTTAAACCCCACAACACCAAAATAGCATAACATCTATTCTATTATAGAAAACACACAACTCACTTGGTATGAAAATTTGTCACATAATTTTGATTCCCAAAAAACCACAACAAAATTATATTTTTCCCAAACATTTACCTTGCTTAACAGTTATTGAAAGGATTAACATCTAAAATCAAGTATTCCCACTACTCAACACAGACTCTCTCTTCACTCTCACCCACCTATGATCACCATAATTACAGTTTCAATTGCATACGGAGTGTGCTGAGTCTTCTAGCCTCCAAAAAACAAACGACAAAAATCGAAAAAACACGATACACTTTTCATCACCAAACTTCAAAACTTATTTCAGAAATCTTTTTAATTCTTTTTTTAATATTTCAAAATCACTTTTCATCCAAATTCTGACACTACTAAACAATGCCCTGAATGCACGAGGCATTTCATTGAAACAGAAACCCGTTTACACTATCAAATTTTTATAGCAACCTGAATTTATATATGTAACATTTGGGAAAATGAAATAAGTAGTAATTTTTTTATAGCAACACTGAATTTAGACAAACACTAATACATGTACATATAACATGTGGGAAATATATTGAATTGAAGTTAGTTTAGAGCTTACAGAAGGCGTTGACTGTTGTGGGGTGGCACCAGCTGAAGCCCCACCATCACTGTAGACTCTTGAGGAGAAGACTCTTCGGATGGAGCTTAATTTTGGGTCAAATCCATGACGATTGTTTGAAAAGTAAGAAGCTTTTGAACTAACTTTCAAATGGGTGTGCGAGCTCTGGCGATGGAGGTTGGGAGGCTTGAATTTGAAGTGAGTTGGGATTGTTAAAGCCATCATGGATAACTCTTGGAGGTTTTGAGCTTGATTTTCTAGGAAAAGAAAACGAGAGAGTGTGCGAGTATCTGGGGTTTTTCCAAGTTTTTTTCCCCTCTAGTGCAGTGTTTGCATGGTGAGAATCTGATAGAATTCTACAAATGCGAGTTGACAGTGTCATATACCACAAATAATCTGTGATTTTATGAGAGCACAGCATTAATACATGGCTGTGCAACTTCTCTTCTCTTGCTATTCCTGATTAGAGAGGAGTGGTGGGTCCCTTGCTGAGGTTTTTTCACTCGAATTTTCTAGGGCATCTCCAAGGTTTTGAGATCTGTTTTTGGAAGTCTTTTTGACAATTTTTAATTGTAGTTAAGAAATTATTATAAATTGCTATATTTTTTTTTATATTTTTTTTTATAAAAATTTAAAAATAAAAATTATTATAAATTGCTATATTATTTTTTTATATTTTTTTTTATAAAAATTTAAAAATTACTTAATTATTATTGTTTTTTCTTAATAAAGAAATTATGGTATTTTTAGAAAATTATTATAAATTTATGAAAAAAAATTATAATTATAATTATTAATATTTATAAATTTTATTATTTTTCTGTAATTGTTTTGTAGAATTTATACTTGTCATGACCCAACCCCAAGGGCTTAGAGTTGGAATCGTGACTTACTAACTTATTCTTATTCGAAGCAAATTAAGTTGCGCAAGCGAAAATAAAAATAATTAAATAGAAATTTTACTACATTTTACTATTCAAAAAAAAGAGATACATTTCTAGGGCTTTCGTTATTTTCTTATTCAGTGACCCCGAATAGAGACAAAAGGGAGCAAAAATATAAAAAAGAGAAAGGTAAAATAGTGATTTATCATCAGTCCATATGCAGGTTCCATTTTGTAGGGTTATGGATTTCCCTTACATCTCGTTACCTGAAAGGGTAACAGCTATAAGCACATAGCAGAGTGAGAAATATTATACCAAGAGAATAGGGAAATACAAAACAACCATGGATAATTAGTTAGGTTAAAATATTTGCATATTTTAATTTAAAATGACAATTTATTTAAAGTGACAGAATACAGAAATCATGTAAATAAATAATCATAACCACGGTATAAAACAGAACAGAACAGAGGTCACAGAAGTAACAGTCAGAACAAAAATCAATGGATCCATGACAAACAGAGGACCACAAAGTGGTCAAACAGCGGCCAGTGGTTATTTAAGTCCCCCAAGGCGTGAGACTCCTATGGTGATACTTACAAAATATAATTGTTTATAAGATTATAGTCAAATATATACTAAAATTTAAACAAACATATCCATGGGTTTCCTTTTAACTAAATAGAGTTTAGAAAGTAATCCACGTAACTGAAATGTTTATAAACATAACTTTTATTTGTATAACTTAATAAATATAACTTGTATAAAATAAGTTATAGTAACTCTAAATATTCGTAAAACATATAATGGTAAATTAAGTTATAATATAACTAACCTTAAGATGGAGTCTTACTTTTTCTTTCTTATTTTAGTTAACTCCCACTGCCCCTTTACTTCCTCTCTTTTCTTTTCTTTATTTCTTTTACTTTTTCCTCCGTTGACTTTGTTTTTTCAGCCCCATCCCTCCTTTATATACCCACCACGCCAAAAGATGATATAATCATCCTATTGGGTGACTCACCCCCTCCTACACCTTGAGAGCCCAAGTGGCATATATATGTTTGCCCAGCACAACACGCTCTTAATTACTTAGATTAGCAAATCGTTTATAATCCGATATGAAATTAATTCAAGGATCTGATATCATTTCTATAGATATATATATATATTTATTATATTTATTTGTTTAGCCTATTTATTTATTTACTATTTTATTTTGTTTTTAAATTTTAATTTGGTCCAACTAGTACTATAATTTTATATTTCTGTTAATTTGACCCCAAATAATAATTCCTAATTAATCACATATTTGATAACCCAATGTCAAATTAGAATAATATATTAATTTATTTAATAATCTATCATCACATGCAGCCATAATTATATTACAATAAATATTTATATGGTACTTAATTAAACACGCAACCCAACCCATTGTATGAGGCATCACTATAGATTGAGTCTTACTTTTTCTTTCTTATTTTAGTTAACTCCCACTGCCCCTTTACTTCCTCTCTTTTCTTTTCTTTATTTCTTTTACTTTTTCCTCCGTTGACTTTGTTTTTTCAGCCCCATCCCTCCTTTATATACCCACCACGCCAAAAGATGATATAATCATCTTATTGGGTGACTCACCCCCTGTGACAGTCAGAACAGAGGTCAATGGATCCATGACAAACAAAGGACCATAAGGTGGTCAAACAGAGGCCAATGGTTATTTAAGTCTCCCAAGGCATG